AAAACACTGAGACCTTGAGACCCACACACCATAGCTGGCTGTAAAGTAAATATTTTCACAAATTCAGACACTGGAGTCTTCTAAAAGTGCAGTTTTCCCAAGTATTAGAAGAGAAATTAGTCCTGTGTCGCTCAAACCAGGACAGTTCTTTAGTGTTATTAATGTTAATTACTTAGTCTTATTCTATTAAATCTGTTAATATTTCAACCCCCAGGTTTCCTTGTTTTTTCCCGATTCTCCTTCCTGGGTGGGGAGGGATCATCAGGTGATAGAATAATTATCTAAACGACAATAGATTGTTGTGGTTCTTCAAACCATAACAGAGAGTTGGGGTTGTTCAGCCTGGAGAAAAGAAGGCTCTGGGGACACCTTTTTGTAGCCTTTCAGTACTTAAAGGGGGCTTATAAGAGAGATGGGTACAAACTTTTTAGCAGGGTCTGTTGTGACAGGACAAGGGGTAATGGCTTTAAACTAAAAGAGGGTAGATTTAGACTAGATATAAGGAAGAAATTTTTTATTATGAGGGTTGTGAAACACTGGAACAGGTTGCTCAGAGAGTTTTTATATGCACCATCCCTGGAAACATTCAAGGTCAGGTTGGATGGGGCTCTGAGCAACCTGATCTAGTTGACGATGTCCCTGCCCATTGCAGGGGGGTTGGACTGGAAGACCTTTAAAGGTCCCTTCCAACCCAAACTATTCTATGATTCTATGGTTCTATGATCTTTTCTCTCAAAGGTTAAAGTAATAATTAAATGCTTATTAGGCTTTAAACACTAGATAAACTCTATTTTAGATGTTATGCCTCCAGCCAATCAGCAGGACCAAAATCTTACTTTAAGTAGGCTGGAGACAACAAAAGAGTAAGAACCACAAAATCAGTAAGAACCACTTTTGTGTACAATATATTTATGATTGCAATAACTATGTTTACATACATGATTCCGTCATTCTCAGAATAGTACAAGGAACAACTAGTCTTTTTTTTATACTTTACAGCTTCAAAACCCTAAAAATCATTCAGTAGATTGCTATGATTTTCATAGGTAAGAGACACAAAAATACAAAATTGTATTATTTAGAGTCACATAAGTTGAGCATTTTTGAAACATGAATTTTGGATGTCTCATCTTCTGAGTTGCCAATTTTAAGGGCTGATTTTCAACATCAAAAGCAGCCATTGATCTGTGTTGGAAAAAGGAGGGCTCATTTATATCAGGTCAGGCACTTAATTTGTGTAATACAATTTTAGTCTTTTTTTGACTGTGGTTTTTACTTCAGATGTTACAGGTGGAAGCACTTGATAATTTATATGCTTTCCTCAGCCTGAAACTGGGCTACTATAGAGATGCCTAATGATTATACAATGAGTAAAATATAATGGTTTCCTTTTTTTTTAATCTGTCGATGGCTCAACTATTTTTTTTCCAGGTTTTGTGGGGGAAAAAAAATTAAAATCCCTCAATGACTTATCTTTATCTCTACTATTCTACTGCTATCTTCCAAACCCATCTGTGCCCAAGTTTTCCCTTTGTAAGGCTAGTGATCTTAGCTATGCTTTATTGCAAATAAATACCATTAACAATAATGATAGATGCTGTACCACATATGTTTATAGAGATTCTCTGGGAATCTCTGTGTAGGAAAGGGTTATGATTTGAAGGGAGGTTTGTTGTTTTTCTTTAAATAACGATCACTTTGCAAATTAGCTTGACTATTCTTGTTCCAATTTAAGACTCATTTTGGTAGACTGGCTCATTAATCAAGTTCTTTTAAATGCAAGCAGGAGAGTTCAACAGATAATCCCAAAATGTTACTCATTTTTGCTAGACTTAAAGTACATCAAATGCATAGTGTTTTACTAAATAGACAAGTTTCATTAAATTTTAATTAAACCTTTATTTCATTACTGATTTAATAATGTGCTTTAATGTTATTGTGGTACTTAAATTACTTCAGATCCCTTAAATGTGAGAACTTCAGTCCTAGTTCCAGGTTTGCTTTTGCTTCCATCTTTTTGTACTGTGAGACTCTAAATAGGGCAGAATCTCATATAAAAGTGTAATTTATTTACGAGACTGTTTTTTCCACTTTAAAAATCTTGGTGCCGCTGCAACTCTATGTATAGAGATATTAAAATAATATGAAGGTTAATATTAAAATAAATTAATTAACTACAGTAGGCCTACGATAATGAAACTGGGATGACAAAATATATCTCCCAGTTCACTCAGGGAGAAGCTTGAAAGGGTTTGATGAGTAAACATGATAAGTGGGTGGATAGGTGAGAATTAAAAGGAGGCTTTATGCTTTGTAAAGCCAGTGCCCTAAATGAAGCTTAGTAATGACTTCACTTCTAATATGATTGATCTCTAGGCAGCAGTTGTGGTGGTATTCAACTTTGCTATGATTTTGCTGATTTTTCCTGCTATACTGAGCATGGATCTTTATCGTCGGGAAGACAGGAGACTGGATATATTCTGCTGTTTTACAAGGTGAGAATGTGTGGTAGAATTACAGTATATGAGGTGCATCCTTTTTGTGATCACCAATCAGTGCTACTACCCCTTGTCAGGAGTGGGAGGTCTTCATTGCCACAGGACAGCAGCAGGGTCAGTATGTTATTGTCACAGTTTTATTGCTAGTGACTGAATTACATTTGCTACCTTGTTTTTTTATCGGACCGAGGGGAAAAGTTAAAAGGCATTTCACACACACTCTTTTTCCTTTATTCATACATACATCCATTTTAGCCATTGGAGGACAACTTTCTGGAAGCATTTAAAAGAGCCATGCTTTAGTAATATCTGTATTTTTAGAATTTTATGGGGTACTGCAGTGTGTCCAGTGCTGGTATTGGGTAACCTTGGAAAACTTAATTCCAGTCTTTTATGTAAGACTGTAAATAACTCGGGGTACTCAGAAGCCTTACTTATACTTAATCACTACGTGCTAATTTTTATGCGTTTTATGCCTTGAAACTTAAATGCATAAAATAATGTAAAAACTATAATTTTACTTCCCTTTAGCCCAGTTTTTCATAGGACTATGAGGAATTCAGAATGATCAGTACCATTGCAAGACAGTGATTGATAAACTTTCTGTTATGTCTCCAATAGTAATTTAGAATGATAGTATGCACACTCTTACCTAATACACATTCAGCTCTGAGGGCAGGGGCAGGCTAGGAGGAAGCTACTGTCATCAGCAGAGCCACCGCTTAGAGGTAAAGCATATTTTCTTCATTAGTTTTTGCTTTTGCCTGCAATGAAGAGGATAAACTGCATTTCTATACATGTACTCTCACATGCATGCCATAACCAGGATGTAGAGAAACTCCCTTTTGTCCTCTTAGCCTTTCACACCCATGTAGGAGCAGACACATTTTGACCTTTTTAACTTCAATGTCAAAGAGAAAGTGCATTCCTAAATTTGTTTTTGAGGGAGTCATTAGAACAGGGAGTTGATCATAAGCCAGGACTCCTGCTTTCTGTTTCTGATTCAGACATAGTTTCACTGGATGGTCTAATGTGCTTGAATTTTGGAGCCCTGATTCTCAGAAGTACAGAGCAGTCAGACCTTCCATTTATTCCCCCATCTAAAGTTGTACCAAATGTGAATCAGAATTTGGACCCATGTACATATGAAGAAATTCAGTTAATAAGAGCTTGCTTTGTTTAGGTAGGCAACATTTTCTTCCTTTTTGTAGGATTTTTCCACTTGGTGAAAAATCTCTGATACTGTTTTCTATCAGCAATTTGGTTTTATTTACAGAAGGAGGCTTGTTTATGACATTTTTAAAATAAACTAGGTATATATTATATTCTTGCATAGACTACAATAAAGGGAATGCTTCAAAAAATGCTTCTGTAATTTTGTCTCTTCATGTTGCCCATTCTTCCTGGGAATTAATCCTTGTATATGTTTACTTCAATTTCAAAACATGCAATCAGTGTATGGCAAGTGGTTTCAACCTGCCTCCCAAAAGTCTGAGATCTTATCCAGAAGGCCCAAATATTATTTAACAATTATTTTAATAGTTCTAAACAGAAGAACTCAGCATGTCATGCATTTACATTTTGGTCTTCTAAATAGTTTAATTCTCGGCATGATTGTGTAGATGTAAACTCACACACACATATCATGCATTCAGACTGTGTGCAACTACCTGGCTATTGATGTGATTAGCGTGTGTAATAAATAGAGTGATGTGAGTGGATGCCAGTGTCTTCAGACAAATGCTGGTTCTTTCTTTCTTGGGCACAAGAAACATGCAGAAACAGGCTCAGAGGCCTACACTTTAAACCATGTCTAAGAAATATTTCCTAAAAGCGCAGAAGGAAATCCTCATTAAAACATTATGCTTAATTAATATAAACAAGTTAATAGTAGTAGAAGCAGTCTCAGATGGAAGCAGATTATCCTATCTAGCCTGATTAAAATAAAGACCTATCTAAATGTGAACAGATGTTTTTCTCTTCTCTTGCAGTCCATGTGCCACTAGAGTGACTCAGATTGAGCCTCAAGCATATGTGGAAAACAGTGATAATACTTGCTACAGTCCTCCACTCCCATACAGCAGCCACAGTTTTGCATATGAAACTCGGATTACGATGCAGTCTACAGTGCAGTTGCGCACAGAATACAATCCTCATGCACAGGTGTACTACACCACAGCAGAGCCTTGCTCAGCAATATCTGTGCAGCCAGTGACAGTGACACAAGATAATCTCAGCTGCCAGAGCCCAGAAAGCACAAGCTCGGCAAGAGATTTGCTTTCCCAATTCTCAGACTCCAGTATGCATTGCCTTGAGCCACCCTGTGCTAAATGGACACTCTCATCTTTTGCAGAAAAGCATTATGCTCCATTCCTCCTAAAACCAAAAGCTAAGGTAATCAGAAAACTATTTACCTGTTTTTCAAAAATAGACTTCTGCCTTGGCCAGTAGGAAAATTATCCTGACAATAGTATTAAATATCAGGAATAAATAGAATTATTTGGGAATTATAATTCTTAATAATTTTACACTTAATTTCATACTTTAAAAGTTTTATCTTGCTAGTGCTGTAGTGACATACATTTCCAATGTAAGTTATGAGTGAGGGTTTTGGTAACTTTCAGTAACCTAAGCTCACGAACAGTGCAACTAAATCTACTTTTTAACTTCATCACCATATAAATTTCCTGTTCATGATCTAGAGCCCCTTCACTAAAACACAAATTAGTTTGGCCTTGTAGTGTGTGTGCATATAAATATATAAAAGCTTGAAAGTATAGTGATGGGTATTAATTTTGAACCTGTTCTGTGTGGCATTATGAGTTATTAATTTCTTTAGGAACATAAAACCAAATGCATTTCCATTTTCTGTTGCAGATTGTGGTTATTTTTCTTTTTCTGGGTTTACTTGGGATCAGCCTTTATGGAACTACCCGGGCTAGAGATGGACTGAATCTCACAGACATTGTGCCACGAGAAACCCAGGAATATGACTTTATTGCAGCACAGTTCAAGTATTTCTCTTTCTACAACATGTATGTAGTGACACAGAAAGCAGACTATCCCAATGTCCAGCACTTACTTTATGAACTTCACAAAAGTTTCAGTAATGTGACATACATTTTGTTGGAAGAGGATAAGCAGCTTCCCAAAATGTGGTTGCACTACTTTCGAGATTGGCTGCAAGGTAAGAGAGAATTGCATGAACTTTTCTTTTTAATTCTACAGTAGCAAGCAATTATTCACTGTAGTAATGCTCTCCTCTTACAATACAGTCGCATGGTTTAAAGCATGCTAGCAGGATGAAAAATGTCTAGGTTTTGATTCGAACTCGGACATAAATTTGCTGTTTCTCCAACATTTCACTTAAATTCTTTGTGGCTAAGTTTACTCCTCAATAAAGCAGTTTTGGAGCTTTAAAAGAGTATATCCATGAGAGGTCATCTCATATCATTAATTTCTAATGAGGAGTTCTGCATATAATTAATGGCCAAATACGGCCCAGGTTCTTGGGAAGATAAATGTTTGCTGAGTATTTTGAGAACAGTCCCAGTCCAGCAATGTATTTTGGCACAGGCTTAACTTTCAGCACACAAGTGATCCTGTTGGCTTCAGCTAGGACTGCTGGCATGAAGAAAGTTCAGTGGGTCTTAGGCATTTTATTGGATTGAGAGATTACTACACGTTCTAGACTTCCAATCAAGTATCCTCACTCTTTCTATGGTGCTTCTTTTTCTGTGCTGAACTGTAACTGGGAGGGGGGTGTTATAGGTAGTATGATGATAATTATATTAAAGTGGGCTTATTAAAGGAATATAATTGTTCATGTTGAGGCAAATAGTTCTTTTGTATTTAAAAAAAATAGTAATGCTACATCTCAGCAAACTTAACAGTTCTCTCTTGTAAGCAAGCACATCCTGCCCAGAAATATTTCTGTCCTTCCTCTGTCGCACTGTTGGAAGAATCTTCAGGAAGCTTTTGCAAACAGAAAAATAAAGCTGACCTACTGAGACTGTAAATTTTAACCTTAACTGTTTACAGATGACCGATGCAGCCAATGATTCTTAGAAAACATGCACATAACTGCCAGTATTTGAAGTGCCTTCAGCCTAACACACCTCTCTTTTCAGAGGCTCACCTGTATTTTGCTTCCTGGTATCAAATCACGTTAACATTTTCTATTATCTGAAAATGCAACAGAAGATAGTTAACATTAATAATTTGTTTAAACTGGAAACAATAACATTATTTTTATAAGTGACTGAATGTAAATGAGGTAGCTTAAATTCCCTCATGGCTTTTAATTAGGCTTGTTTTTGCAAAGGGTAATCTTATCTCATGCTTCACAGTGCCAGCTGTTCACATGAGTCAGTAGGAATTCCTTCCTCACCCCCATTCCAGCATCCAACATACTTATGGAGGATTTTACGTTCTTCTATATAACAATTTAAAAATTTACTTAGTTTTTATAATTTCTCTGCAGAAAGGTGTCTGTTAAAAAGTTACTTTTATCTTTCTTCCCAGAAACATTTCATTAATTACAGCTATCTTTAAAACAGATCGAAGGGCCTTTAAAATCATTGCTGTGAACAGTTTATAATAAAAATATTGTTTGCTTTTAAATCAGTTACCCTGCTATTAATTTCAAAGTGTTATAGGGAATTTTTATTACTGAAATTTTGAAATCTTTTAAAAACAAAGAACAATTGACTGCGGTTTCTTGGTATTCTTTCTGCAGACTTTCAGTTTCAGCAGTGTACAAAGCCAGTAATAAAATGACACAAAGTGTAAAGTGGTTAAGCCAGCTGAGAAATAAAGATGTAAGAGAGCTGGATTTGAGGGATGATTGAACTTGTAAGAACTGTAGCATACACTGGAGGGGGGGGGGAAGAACTGAAAGAGCTAAGTTTCCACACACTGTAGTAATGTAAAATGTAACTTGCAACCACAAATTGGTAATGTTGCATGCAAATGCATATATTTGGTATCGTGTGTCTGCTTAGCCCTGTGTCAAGAGTTTGATATTAGTCTGAAAGTTCTGCCAACAAATATTGTCTAGCAGAGCAACTCATCTGCTCCTCTTAAGCTGTCCTTTGAAGCTCTCTCCTTTTTTCCTACATTCTTCTTCAACAGCCTCTTCTTAAGTCCCAAAGGGATCTTTTACATGACTATTATGATAGCACAAATACTTTCACATAACCATTTCTAAGAGATTTAAATGGCGTTAGAGTTGTATTCAGGGAGGATGGATTTGTATTTCTGCACTTCACAGAATCACAGAATTGTTGAGATTGGAAGGGACCTCTGGAAGTGATCTGGTTCAACCCCACTGCTCAACCTCAAGCCAGTTGCCCAGGACCACGTCCAGATGGCTTTTAAATATCTCCAAGGATGGAGATTCTACAAATGCTCTTGGCAACTTTTTCCAGTGCTCAGTCACCCTCACAGTGAAAACTTTTTCTTTGTGTTCAGATGGAACCTCCAGTGTTTCCATTTGTGCCCGTTACTTCTTGTCCTGTCACTGGGCACCACTGAAAAGAGCCTGACACCGTCTTCTTTGCACCTTCTCTTCTCCCTTCAGGTTTTTATATACATTGATGAGATCCCCCCCGAGCCTTCTCTTCTCCAGGCTAAACAGTCCCAGCTCTCTCAGCCTTTCCTCATATGTGAGGTGCTCCAATCCCTTAAACATCTTTGTGGCCCTGCTCTGGATTGTGTCCAAGTAGCTCCATATCTCTCTTGTAATAGGGGGCCCAGAACTGTACACAGCATTCCAGGTGTGGCCTCACCAGTGATGAGTAGAGGTGAAGGATCACCTCCTGCTGGCAATACTTTGCCTAATGCAGCCCAGGGTACATTCTTTGCTACAAGGGTATATTACTGGCTCATATTCAACCTGGTGTCCACGAGAAGCCCCAGGGCCTTTTCTGCCAAGCTGCTTTCCATCTGGGTGGCCCCCAGCATGTGCTGGTGCATGGGGTTGTTCCTCTCCAGGTGCAGGACTTTGCACTTCCCCTTTGTCAAACTGCACAAGGCTCCTGCCTGCCCATTTCTCCATCCTGTTGCAGTCCCTCTGGATGGCAACACAAGCCTCTGGCCTATCAGCCACTCCTCCCAGTTTTGTGTCATCAGCAAACTTGCTGAGGGAACACTCTGCCCCATCATCCAGATTGTTAATGAAAATGTTGAACA